AACATATTCACAGCTCTCAAGTCAGTGCTTCCATTTCTCAGAATCCATCCTAATAAAATACAAAAATGTGCACAAGATTTATGTCCCAGAATGTCACTGCAATGGTTTTCTTTCTCTAATTGATGTTCTTGTTACAAAAATAAATATGGCCATTGTAAAGTGCTGTAAAACAAAATAATCCAGAGAGTTTTTTTTTAAGTTAAACATCATAATCTCCCACTGCCCTGACAGCTTCAACATTCTAAAGCACTAAAAATTAAAAATTTGTTTTCATAGCTATCATAAAAATATACACAAACACACAGAAACGGGTTTCTTCTTTAATTAAAAAATAAGATTTGCAATATTTATGAAAACTTACTTTGTTTCACTTAATATTTTCATGGATATTTTTCAGATTGACACATTCTGATAATTAATACCACTTGCTTTATAACCTAATTTTTGTGAAACATTTGAGTCTTTTGAAGTTTTTGACTATGACAAACAATGACAAAATTAATACCTGCAAGCTTTATTTCTGTAAGATAACTCCATTCCTTCACTAAAAAAATGGATAGATGGATCAAAGGATACATATACATATATATATATAAATATTTCTGAAATATGTTAATATAACCTTCTCTTTTGTGATTGCATTTGCATAACTTAGGCTCACTCTGCCTTTTACTTCAGGCAAGATTCTGGTTGTTATAGAAAGAATGAAAAGAAAAAGACTCAGCATTTAGTTTTCTACAGCAAAAGTAGAAATTATGGAGACCACACGCAGATGAAATTTTTATAGAGCAGCTTGTGGGGGGCATTTCAGCTGTGTGAGGGTTAGAGAAGGAGGACACACCTCTGGGCTCTTATGATAGCCCTTACAGCCTGTAGCGAATAAAAGAATCAGCCAGCCAATGCATCAGGGCCAGTGACTGTTAATGGTGATGTATCAACTGGATTGACTAGGGAGCTGCCTAAGGGATTACTAAGACACACTTCTGGGTGTTTCTGGTGGGCCATGGGGGCATGACCTTGGGGTGTAGATCTGTTCCCTCCCCTTTCTCTGGCTCTGTTCACCTCTCTGTTTCCCAGTCATCATAAATTAAGCACTGTTGCCCCACCAGGCCCTTCCATCATGGTGTTCCTGCCTTGGAGCCAGCTGACCATAAACTGAATCCTGAAATCATGAGCTAAACTAAAACCTCTCCTACTTTAAGTTGTGGGTGCCTGGTGTTGTGCATAAACAATGAGAAAGCTAATACAAGGCCTAAAGACAAGGCCTTATTTCTATAACCACCCTGGCCAGGTGGTTTGTGGCAGAGAAAACCTGGTGTCCTCTTAATATCCTGTGTTCCACACCCAGTGTCATGGACCAGTAATTCATCCTCTCTGCCTTGGTTTCCCCACAGTGAGCATCCTGGAACTGGATGAGACCAAGCATAAAATCCTCAGCTCTTGTTGGCTAGTTCACAAGGACTTACAGAATGGCACAACTACTTTCTTTATAACACCAAGGAGCGAGGAGGAGAGCTCCTATGCTTCCTGTAAGCTTCACTGACTAGCTCTAAGAGGTCACCAGATGAAAGCACATTCGCATCCCCCAGCCCAGATGAAGTCCATCCTCAAACAGTCCTGAGCAAAAGGAACCAATGTCCAATTAGGGATAGGGTCTCCAAGACAGCTCTCCAGACCCAGATATTGTACAGCCCACAATAGCTGGAGTTGGGGAGAGAAAGGGAATAGGAGGGGAGGAAAGGACAAAGGGAAGGGAGGGGAGGGAGGGGAGGGAGACAAAAAAGAAGGGAGGGAGGGAGGGGAGAGGGGGAGAGGGAGGAAGACGTATACTTATCAATACAATCTATACCACACGGCACACTCAAATGTATCAGTAAGGCAAGTACACTGGGTCTTCACTCTGTTGTCCTTTCAGTTTTCTGTCTTCATACTTCTCTTTTCTTGAGCTCTTTTCTCTGGTCTTTCCTCATAATGTTTCTATTCCAATGGGGGTGGGTTGTATGATTGTGTGTTTGTTTTTGTGGTACTAAGGATTGAAACCTGGGCTTCCTGAGCTACATCCCTAGCCCCTCTTTATTTATTTATCCTTTCATCTTGAGAAAGGATTTCACTAAGTTGGCCAAACCATTCAAGGCCAAGCTGGCCTTGAACTCAAGATCCTCCTGCCTCAGTCTCCCAAGTCCTGGAACTGCAGGTGTGCTCCACTGTGCCTGATGCATACATGGTCCTTTATGTGATCTTTCCTTTCTGACAGGCTGAAAGGCAAAGCTATATTCCTCTGTGTCTCATCATCTCCTCTCTCTTTCACTACCCTATTTTAGTAGATGTTGTTATATTTGAGTGCTTTTCCTTTTATGGTCAAACACTTTTATGCTTCTATTATCTGCTTTCTCAGTTTTAAAACATCTGACTCTGTCTCACAGCAGGCAACCAGAGCACTCACTATACTTTTTACTTTTCCATTCTCCTACAGGCTCTGCAAAGCATTTTGCCTTTTAAAGCATTATAGTTTAGAAAACTGTTCCACTGGCCTCCAATGGCCATCCATTCGGGTTTTGCTCCTTCTGTGGGATTTCATTTTGGTTCATCTTTGTAGAAAACTATGTACTTCTTCTAGTTTTTCTGACACACTACCACGGGGTTGACTGCAGTATAAACAGGCCCCATCTTTCCTACGTGAAAAGGACTCCCACTGCCAGACAGCTGATTCCTCTCCTGTGGACTGAATTTTCCCTTACCGGAGTGGGGTGCTACCTGGATAAATTAGTAAATTCCTACTTCTATGCTTAGCTGGGCTTTGGGAAGAGGCCACAGGCACTGAGGTTTGCACACTGAGATCAGCTGTGTTTCCAACCACAGAGATGGAGTAGGGGAGCCCCAAAGTACCTACTCTGATTGCAAAGCTCAATGGGGAGTCCATCCCGAAATGCACAGATCCTGTCTGGGGTCACTCACTGGATTTGGCCAACATTGCTCTTTATGGTCGCCACAGAGAACAATGCCTACTCTGGCTGCGTTTCCAGGAGACCTCTGGTCAGCTCACAGAATCAGCAGCCTCTCCGCTCCAGAGCAGGAGTCATGAGACCAAACACCCCAGGATACCACACTCGAGTTCCTTCTGGCCTCCCTGTGACTTGCTGTGCCTTTAATGTTACTTATACTAGTTAATATACAGGTATTAAAAACAAACAAAATACACAATAAAGGATAATAATTAAATTATAGTGCATAGTAGATATTTCTATGAGTTCCTTCCGGCCTCCCTGTGACTTGCTGTGCCTTTAATGTTACTTATACTAGTTAATATACAGGTATAAAAGCAAACAAAATACACAATAAAGGATAATAATTAAATTATAGTGCATAGTAGATATTTCTATTTTATACAAAAATAAAAATAAATTGTTTAATGAAAACAGCAGGATGTAAAACCTAAAACTACAAATACATTTTGTAAATGTGGGTATATTTTATGGATTAAAAAAATAAGGAAAAGGGGCCGGAGATTTAGCTCAGCGGTTCGGTGGCCTGCCTTGCAAGTGCAAGGACCGGAGTTCAATCTCCGGTACTGGGGAAAAAAAAAAGGAAAATAGTTGAAACATCAGTATTTTACATAATTATAGATTTCTTACTCCTAAGCACTTTTCTGAATTTTCTAAGCTTTCTAAGCATAAGCACACATTGTTTCCAAAGCCAGAAGAAATGAAATCTCATTAGAAGACTAATATATATGTTAAGCTTAAGAAGCCATAAATGATGAAATCCTTTTTGTTACAATCATTACACTAAATGACACATCTGTTTTCTTGAAACTTAAATATTGATATAAAATATATTATAGAGAGTTTAATGAAAAAACTTTTCCTAATCAGCAAAATTAATGTTTGCTATTTTCTGTACTTACATAATACAGAAAAAACAGTCAATAGCATCTACAACAACTGCGAACACACACCCTCAGGAAACCCCCCAAATGCAATAAATGTTTGTGCTCATATTGTAAATGCTATGCCATGAAAGGGTACTACTATTCAATCAATAACATAGGATTAATTACATATATGGAAAATTGGTCTTTTAAGAAAAAGATTTACTTAGGTAGGGAATAAACATTTTAAATGATTTTTACAAATGACTTTGAAAATACTGCCTAAAATACAGAAATCTAGAGAAAGGAAAAGTATAGATATAAACCTAATCTAAAATCTCCAAAGAAGCACAATAGTTCTACTAATCCAATTCTTGACCTTGTTAAGAATGTATTACGCATACCACCTCCATCTTTTCCTTATCTAGTAATACTGCTATCACAAATCCAACCTGAGTTCAGGCAGAATACAAACTATGGGGAAGGATGATGAGAACCTTGAGGGATACTAATATAAACAAGGAAGATTTTTTTTTTAAAAAAGGGACCCCGTATAACATTCTGAAGGGGCTTATGCCCAGATACTATGCAGATAATCTCAAAATCAAAAGTAAAAGGCAAACCTTATCTTAGAATAAAAAATAAAAGTATAACCTTTTTCTATAATTGAATCATAAAACTTTGCCTAAGACAGAAGCCAGCCACCATCTGAATACCATCCCTACCACTATGACAAACTCCGGAATTTCCATTAAACACACAGATATACAATTATCACAAAGTGATTCAGTGAGAATCAGAAGAAAGGTCTGCATATAAGAGTTTGCATATATGTTTGAAAAAAAACTGAATCTGCTTTATCTTCATACCATCATATAACATGACGAGATTTATGGTACTTGTATTTTCAATGGCAAGAAAAATACACAGAAAAGGGGTGGAAATGTTGTATGTTAATAAGCAAAGAACCAGAAACCAAGTGAAACATCTAGTTGTTCTGGAGAGGAATCTGGATGAAAGAGAAACTGGGAATTTAGAAACGTATTAAAACATGCTTACATCTTGTCTTTTTATGTTTGCAAAATAAAGGAAATGTGATGAGGATATATTTATAGAGAACCCAAAATTTTACCTTGGAAGACCGGAAGGTAAATGCTGTTGATTTTACATCAGCCTTTTCTTTGTCCATGAGTAAAAGGTTTTTGTCTTCCAGGAGACTTAGGTATTTTCCGGTTGTGACGTGGCGTAGTCTGAATGGCTGCCCCCACCGTATGTGGCTCCCACTCCACCTAACAAAACCAATCAGGTCTTTACCCAACAGCATCCTCAATCACAGAAGCAGCAAGTGAAATATATGAATCGACCTATTTGTGACACATAAAAGAGTTACCATATTTATCATACATGAGGTAAAGAGAATATGTCTATATAGTTCAAGTCCCTTTCCCCAAATTCTCTAAATAATTACAATTTATAAAGCATTATAAAAGTATTAGGAAATGTTACAAAAAGGAGGTGTTTTTTTTTTCTCCATTCGCTTTAGTATCTTTTCTTTTTCCATATGATTAAGAAGTGCATGTCCAACAAAATTCAACTTTTAAGCTCCATATTTATCAAAAATTTTTAAATTTAAGTGAATTTAGTCAACTGTATATTAATGTCCCAGAAACTTAATCTCATCAATTATTAATAATGATATTAATATTGAAAAAAATTTTAAATTACAACAGAAAATATTAAAAATTGTGTGAAGATTTTGTTGTGATAAAGCAAGCAAAAAGTCAATCACAAAAAAATATATGCTTCAGCATAGAACTATCCTGAGAGTGACACAAATGCAAAACAGGAAATGCAGATTTTCAACTGTTAAAGACAATGATATTCAAATATTCTAAATAAGTGATGGTGGATATTAAATCACAGCAGTATTCATTATCAAATAGATACAGTACTTTGAAAGGTGAAGTCTAACGATTTTATTTGAAAGTGTCACTCCTTTAGGCCAGGGATGTAGCTCAGCAGCACAGTGCCTTCCTGGTGAGGGCAAGGTCCTGAGTTCGATCCCAGGTATGAGAGAAGGGAAGGGAAGGGAAGGGAAGGGAAGAGGTCACTCCTTTAATGTACTAGAAGTTTTATCTTCCATGCATCTATTTGAATTGATCGTGAAAAATGTCCAAGTAAACCAAGCATGGTGGCATAATCTGCAATGCCAGCACTATGAGAGGCTGAGGCAGGAGGATCACAAGTTCAAGCCAAGCCTGCTTAACTTAGCAAAACCCTGTCTCAAAATAACAAAAATAAAACACAAAAAAAGGCTTGTGATGTAGCTTAAGGCAAAGGCCCAGAGTTCAATTCCTGCTACTACAAGAAAAAAAGCATCTAAGTCACTTTACAATGTTCAAGGATGTATATAGTTTTCAAAATTATCATATGACCTATCTTATCTGAATAAAACAAACTGAAGACCATTAAGCCATCTTAGTCATCATTAAATACACAATAATCTCACATTTTTAAAAACCTATGAAGACAGCTGTTTTAATAAGACAGTCCCTGCTCCTTCACACCCATGGAGACTTTAAAACAATAATCTCCTTAAAGTGTAACATAATAAAGGAAAATACACTGAAAACCTAGTGCTTTTTAGACAAAGGCTGAGCCTTCTAATTATTAAAAAATTTTAAGACAGCCAGGAAGGCCACCTTGGGAGCTCTCCCGCCTCCTGCTTGGGCCCCGCAGGTCAGCACCATCTCCTGCCTTCTCTGACACCAGGCACATCCAGGAAGGTAGCCATGCAGGCGCCCTTGAAACACCCACCACAACATGCCCCCACCCTACCCCCACTCTCAGACCTCCTGATTGGGCCAATCCTTGGACCCACTCTGCAGAAGCATAAAGGGTATTTTTATGAGCTCCAATTTTGAACTTCTTTAAAGAAAGGGTGGGGGAAACCTGTAATAGAACTGTGTGGAGTTCAACCTTGCAGGTTGGGAAACTCAACTTAGGCATTATGGCCTGAGGTCAGTCTGAGTCGCGGGGATCTGCCATTGGCTAGCTGAGATCAGAGGACTTGGTTATGCACATGGCTGTGCACATGGTATTTTATGACAGCAGAGACATAATCTGAAAGAGGCCCTTCAAATTATTTTTTTTCTTTCTCTCTTTTCCTCATTCCACCCTTCAATTTCTTTCTTTTTTTCTGTCCTCTTTCTCCAACTCAGTCTCTTGCTCCACCATATTATCCCTCATCTCCCTTTCTATTCCTGCTCCTGCCCTAATTCAGACTTCTCCTTTTATCATTTTCTTTTTTCTTTATGTTCTTTTCTTCTGTCATTTTACCTCACTCATGGGTCAGTAGTTTCAAGGAAAAGTGAGACCCTGTTACTGTTAAGGGAATATATTCTTGTCCTTATTCTTGCACTCTGTCTATCCCTTTTGAATTTAATAGTTTCCTAAAGATTGTATGGTCACTCTATGCCCTCTGACTTCACTTGAAACCTTCTCCAATTCTTACACTTATCTACTCCTCTCGTCCTAATTCTGTCTAGGCCCCCATCTTATATGGTAAAGATGTTATATTGAAAAGCATATTCACTGCAAACATATTTTGGGCTGCTTATTGATTTTAATTTAATTCACATGGTTTAAAGGTGATAGATTAATGACTACCACAAGTGGTCAATTTGCAAGTTGTGCTTGATCCTATTGTGCTGCTGAATGTATCAACTAGGATAAAGGATTGTTATTAATTTAGTGAGTTGTATTCTCTGATATTATGAAAATGAGACTGTCTATGAGTCACTAGAGTCTCAAAAGCTAAAGCACAACTATATCAGGAAGATTTAAGTAATAACCCAGAAATTAAACCAAGGACAACCCTACAACAAAAATAAAAATGAGAAAACACTTAAGCAAGACACAAAGACAGACTTCCAGTTCACCAAAGGCAAATAGTAGGGCAAATGAGGATGAAAAGGCTGATAGAGAACCAGCAGGACACCCTGGACTCATACCACAGGAGATAACAAAACAGATCAATCAGGTTCTAGAAAACTTCAAAATAGAAATAATTTCCCTGATAACCAATAGAGATGATGAGCAAAATGGAAGTCATGATTCGAGATTCTAGAACAGAAACTGACAAAAAATAGTTGAGCTCAAGACCATGATAGAAGCCATGAAGGCCCAGCATAAGAAAGAAACGGAAACAATGAATGCCCAACAGAGGAAAAAAATGGAATCCATAAAACAGATTCAAACAGATATCCAGGAGATTAAAAACTCTACTGAAAGTGTACACAACAGAATAAAAGATTGTGAAGACAGAACTTCAGATATAGAAGATAGGATAGCAGTCAGTGACGGTTAAAAGAGAGGTCTCTTAAAAGCACTAAGGGATCATGAGAAATCAATCCAACAACTTCTTGATGATGCAAAGAAGAATAACATAAGACTGATACAAATCCGTGAAGTAGCAGGAGAAAACACAAATGACTTAAAAAAGCTGTTTACAGAATTAATGACAGAAAACTTCTCAAACAGAAGGGAAGAATTAGACATACAGATAAATGAGGCATACGGAACACCAACTAGCTATGATAAAAAAAAAAATCAACACCTAGACATATAATAATCAAGATCCCAGAAATCCAACAGAAAAACAAAATACTACAAGCAGTAAGAGAAAAGAAACAAATCACATGCAAAGGAAAGCCCATTAGAATCACAGCAGACTTTTCAACACAAACCCTTAGGTCAAGGAGAGCCTGGAGTGAGGTATTTCAAGTCCTAAAAGAAAACAACCTCCAACCTAGACTGATGTATCCTGCAAAACTCTCTTTCCAAATGGATGGGGAAATAAGATCCTTTCATGACAAAGAACACCTGAGAAACTTCATGAACACAAAACCAGCACTACAAGGAATTCTAAACAATATACTAGAAAAGGACAATGAAGGTCACAACAACATGAGACCCAACAGACCAAATCAAACAGGCAAGGCAAGAAACTAAAAGGAGAGGGGGGAAAAACTAAAAAGAGTCAACCAAAGGACAATAACATGACAATAATAAGTCAGAACGTATCAGTTATAACCACCAATATCAATGGCCTCAATTCACCAATCAAGGGAAATAGACTGGCAGAATGGATTAAGAAGTAAAAATCCAACAATATGTTGCATACAAGAAACACACCTAGTGCAAAAAGAAGCCCATAGACTGAAAGTGAAAGGATGGAGAACAATTTTCTATGTGACAGGAGCCCAGAAAAAAGCAGGGATAGCAATCTTATTCTCAAAGTAAATTTCAAACCAAAACTGATTAAGAGAGACAAAGAAGGCCACTACATCCTTGTAAAGGGAACAATTCAAGAGGAAGAGATGACAATCATAAACATATATGCACCAAATGTTAATGCCCCCAACTATATAAAACAAATACTAAGTAACATGAAAAACCAAATAAGCACTAATACAATTGTAGTGGGGGATTTAAATACCCCACTATCACAAACAGACAGATCATCTAGGCAGAAAATCAACAATGAAATACTAGAACTGAACCAAGCTTTGGAACACATGGACTTAATAGATGTCTATAGAGTATTCCACCCCACAAAATCAGAATATACATTCTTTTCAGCTGCACATGGGACATTCTCCAAGATAGACCACATACTAGCTCACCGAACAGGTCTGAATAAATGCAAAAGAATTGAAGTTATCCCCTGTATATTATCAGATCATAGTGTAATCAAGGTGTAGATCAATAGCTCAAGAAACAGTAGAAACTTGACAAACACATGAAAATTGAACAACACTCTCCTGAACAATCAATGGATCACAAAGCAAATTAAAGAAGAAATTAGACAGTTTTTAAAAATAAATGAAAATGCAAATACAGGAATTTATGGGACACAATGAAAGCAGTTCTACGTGGAAAATTCATAGCACTGAATGCTCACACTAGGAAAACAGAGTGAGCTCAAATAAACAAACTAATGATGAATCTTAGACTCCTACAAAAAGAGCAAGAAAAACCCAAAGTTTGAAGAAGAGAGGAAATTATAAAGATGAGAGCAAAAATCAATGCAATGGAAACTAAGAAAACAATACAAAAAATAAATGAAACAAAAAGTTGGTTTTTTGAAAGAATAAATAAAATTGATAAACCCTTAGCTAATCTTATCAAAAAAAGGAAAGAAAAGGCTCAAATCCATGCAATCAGGAATGAAAAAGACGAAATCACAACAGATCCAACAGAAATCCAGAGGATAATCAATACCTACTTTGAGAACCTGAACTCTAATAAATTAGAAAACACAGAAGAAATGGACAGATTTCTATATAGTTATGAATTACAAAAGTTGAACAAAGAAGATAAAAACATTTTAAACACCCCAATTATAGTCAGTGAAATTGAAAATGTAATTAAAAATTTACCAACAAAGAAAAGCCCAGGCCCTGATGGAATCACTGCTGAATTTTACAAGACATTTAGAGAAGAACTACCGCCAAGAATTACTCTTCAAACTTTTCAATTGAAAATTGAAACGGAAGCTATATTTCCAAATTCATTCCTGGAAGCAAGTATCACTTTGATTCCCAAACCAGGGAAAGACGTAACTAAAACAGAGAACTACAGGCCAATCTCCTTAATGAATATAGATGCAAAAATCCTTAATAAGATACTAGCAAACAGAATACAGAGGATCATCAAGAAGATCATACATCCTGACCAAATTGGATTTATTCCAGTGATGCAGGGTGGTTCAACATACGTAAGTCAATAAATGTAATACATTCTATTAACAAAGTCAAGAACAAAAACTATATGATCCTCTCAATAGATGCAGAAAAAGCATTTGACAAAACTCAATACCCATACATGATAAAAACCCTGCAAAAAATTGCAATATGTGGCCTATATGTCAATTTAATAAAGGCTATCTATGAAAAACCAACAGCCAACATCATATTAAATGGCCAAAAACTGAAAACTTTCATGTTAAAATCAGGAACAAGACAAGGATGCCCACTATCACCACTCCTCTTTGATATAGTTCTGGAAACATTAGCCATAGCAATTAGACAAGAGAAAGAAATTAATAGGAAAGGAAGAAGTTAAACTGTCATTATTTGCTGACGATATAATACTCTACATTGAAAGCCAAAAAACTTGACCAAAAGACTTCTAGACTTAATTGACAGATTCAGTAGAGTAGCTGGATAAAAGGCGAACACTCAAAAATCAATAGCCTTCTTGTACACAAATAACAGACTCATTGAGAGAGAAATTAGGGAAACAATTCCCTTCACAATAGCATCCAAAAAAATGAAGTATCTAGGAATCAATCTAACAAAAGAAACAAAAGACCTCTACACTGAAAACTACAGCACTCTGAAAAAAGAAATTGAAGAGGACATAAAAAAATGGAAAGATATCCCCTGCTCCTGGGTAGAAAGAATCAACATAGTGAAAATAGCCATACTACCAAAACTGCTATGCAGATTCAATGCGACGACAATTGAAATTCCAACACTATATTTCACAATACTAGAAAAAGGAATCCAAAATTTCATTTGGAACCATCAAAGTCCTAGAATAGCAAGAGCCATCCTAGGCAACAGAGACATGGCAGCGGGTATAACAATTCCCAATTTGAAACTATACTACAAAGCCACTGTGATAAAAACAGCATGGTACTCGCAAAGAAACAGACCTGAGGATCAGTGGAACAGATTGGAAGACACAAAAACAAATCCAAAGGCACACAGCTACCTCATCTTTGACAAAGGAGCTGACCATCCTCAGTGGAGGAAAGATAGCCTCTTCAATAAATGCTGTTGGAAAAACTGGATTTCAACCTGCCACAGATTAAAACTGGACCCTTATCTCTCACCATGCACTAAATTAAAATCCAAGTGGGTGAAAGATCTAAATATTAAAACAGAAACACTAAACTTACTGGAAGTTAGGCAGAACTCTGGAAGACATTGGTATAGGAAAAGACTTTATGAACAAATCCTCAGTAGCATGGGAACAAGCAGAAAGAATAAACAACTGCAATCTCATCTTATTAAAAAGCTTCTGCACTGCAAAAGAAAGCATCAACAGAACTAAGAGACAACCTACAATGTGGGAAAAAAATTTTACCAGCTGCTCCTCAGACAAAGGACTATTATCTAGAATATATAAAGAACTCAAAACAATCAGGCCACCCAAATATAAAGACCCAATTCAAAAATGGGCATCTGAAATGAACAGACATTTCACAGACAAAGAAGTAAAAGCAGCAAGTAAATATATGAAAAAATGTTCCACATCACTGGTCATTCGAGAGATGCAGATGAAAACAACACTGAGATTCCACCTCACCCCACAAAGAATGGCTGCAATCAAGAAATCAAACAATAAGAAGTGTTGGCAGGGTTGTGGGGAGAAAGGAACCCTCCTCCATTGTTGGTGGGAGTGCAGACTGGTGCAACCACTGTGGAAATCAATATGGAGATACCTCAAAGAGCTTGGACTGGAGGTTCCATTTGACCCAGCCATCCCTCGGCTGGGTATCTTTCCAAAAGAACTAAAAGAATCATATCACAGTGATGTATGTGCACCCATGTTTATAGCGGCACAGTTTGCAACAGCTAAAACTTGGAAACAGCCCATTTGTCCATCATTTGGAGACTGGATAAAGAAGATGTGGTTTTTCTATAAAATGGAGTATTACTCAGCCATAAACAATGAGAAATTAGATTCATTCATAGGAAAATGGATACATACTGAGGATATACTCCTAAGTGAAATAAATAAGTCACACATGTGTAAATACCGAATACTTTCTCTGGTGTGAATAATCTGCAATAATACACAAAATCCTAATAAGATTACTGACATTGTGAAATGGGAAGCAAGGGGCTAAAGGTGTAGGGAAGGTGGGATGGGTAGGAGAAGGGTAATAAGAGAAAAGGAAAAAATGTGAGAAAATGAAAAGACGGGAATAAAGTGTTCGTAAATGGGGCGGGGAGGAGGGGGTGAAGGGAGGCCAGGGACAAGGGGAAAAAATGAGAACCAAGACCTTGTAGAGGTACAAGCAGAGGCCAAGAGCACTGAGGATTCTGCGCTCTTAAGAGTCCCACACTGGGTCTAAGTTGTACTCACGCAACTCGAAGTGTTTCTAGTCTCCACAGGGAACGCGCGTGGACAGACACGGCACCACCTTCATAATGAACAGTTCTGCTGAAACGAAAAATTCCAATTTTAACATGTTTCTTTCATCTCTACTTCTCTCTCTCTCTCTCTCTCTCTCTCTCTCTCTCTCTCTCTTTCTCTCTCTTTGGTACCAGGCATCAAACTCAGGTCCTTGTGTTTGCAAGGCAGGCATTGGAACCACTGAGCTAAATCCCTGGCTTGTCTCTACTTTTCAAGTGAGTTATTCATGAAAGAAAAAAAGCAAAGCTGATGCGCTGTGATAAAGTTATTTCTTTTTTATATTAAAGCCCATCACAGGTTCAAAATCACCCTGGCCCATCCATTAGGGCCTGAGAGTTTCGGGTACATCAATGAGCAGTAACTAGAGTAGTGATTTTCAATCACAGCTGCATACAATAATCACGTGGATAGCTTTTAAAATTCTATGTCATGGCCTCATCAATGACCACTCACATATATCTGGAGTTAGGATCTTTTAAAACTCTGTACTTGGGTAAAATGTTCTAGGTAGATTTCTCCACAGCAGCACTATTTTAGGGGGCTGAGTCATTGTTTGTTACAAAGGGCTGTCCTGTGAATCACTGATGCTTTCAGAACTCTATCTTCCACTAAATCTCAGAGTTAGCCTCCCATGGGAAATGACAGATGGTGAAGTTAAATAAGTATCAAAATATTAATTGCATAAGGTAAGGATAGAGGAATTAAGCTTAAAATGCAATAGCCTTTAAGACACAAGAGCATAAATCTACATGTAAAATTATATATAATTATATATACCTTATATATCTATAATGAAGTACACGAAGAACTACCATTCAAATATTTTATATTTCAAAACTTCTAATGTAGTTTGAACTTTTCTTATTTACATAGAAATCTAATACTACTTTTAATTGAAATTTTAGAATATACATATAAAGACAAAAGGAAGCTAGGATTCTCTTTCCTACCAAAAGTATTTTTAGCTTTATCCTTATGTTCTTCCACTTTGAACTATTTCTATTTTTTTAAACTGTTTCAGTGGTAGATGCAGAGAATATGATGGCCCTGAGCTTCCTTCATTTCAATACACGGCACATACAGAACGTCAATGGTTGTCTAACTGTCTTCATCAACTATTTCAAACTAAAAACTGGCATCACGATGTCAAGATCCTAAACATAGCAAGAATCTCATCATAAATAACAGAAAGAACACTTAAGCTTATTTAGAAGTCACTCCATCGGGAAGAATGTTCCTATCCCGTGACAGGATCGTTCTCTTTCCCTTCAAAATATCTCAGGTATCAAATCAGAGATCATACAGACAATTGCTTCAAAGACCAACAAGTTATCAAATGACACAGACGAAGAAATGATTACTGTCAGGGAAGTCGCCTTTCCACAGGAACACTAAGAAGGGGAAAAGATTTTTCAAGAGACTGAGCAGATCCACCAGCTATCATCTTCGCAACCGACCTTCACTGGGGAAGTCAATGCAATGGGAGAGATGGTGCCGAAATTCAAGGGGCAGTCAGAGGCTATGAAAACACAAAAAGCTAACAGCTCTCTACTCACACAAGACTATTTCTGCAACTGTCTTACAAATACAGTTTTGCAAAAATGTCACAGCTACTGAAAAGAAAAAGCTACTGGGAAAAGGAAATAAGTTAAAAAGATGAGACACTGGCATCATTTGCTCGTGTTGTTGTTTTATCATTTTAATGCTTTGTTTGTTACTGTGCTGGGGATTGAACTCAAGGCCTTGGTAATGACCTACATTCCCCAGCCCTTTTTCTTTTCTTTTTTATGTTGAGAAAGGGTTATAATAGAGTTAGATGAGTTTCCCAGACTGGCTTCAAAGTTGTGATTCTCCTATCTCAGTTTCCCAATCTTGAGATTACAGCAGTTGTCTTTTGTTTTGGTTTGCTTTTCCCTTTTTTTTTTTTTTTCTGGAGTTTGTTTTATTGGGGTTTTTGTTGGTTTGTTTGTTTTTGCAGTACTGAGGATTGAGCCCAGGGCCTTCACACTGGGCTATGTAGCCCCTATCCCCCTGCTTTGTTTTTAATTTTTTGAGATAGTCTTGGTAAATTGCTCAGGTGGGCCAGGGATTTAGCTCAGAGGTTCTACCACTTGCCTTACAAGCTCAAGGTCACCAGTTCGATCCCTGGTTTAAAAAAATTGTTCGGGCCATCCTCAAATTTGTGATCCTCCTGCCCTGGCCTCCTGAGTAGCTGGGACAACAGATGTGCACCTGGTCACAGCTGGCTTTCATACCATTTCTAAGCAAAAAATTAAGAAAACTTCTACCTTGTAAGTAAAAAAAAAGTCAGTCACTATAATTTCACTGAACAGGAATTTTTAAAATACGCATATGTAATGACTAAGGGGTATGAGCTCATTGAACAGTACTTAGAATAATTTCAGGCTTCAAGCTGTGAGTTATGCCTCTGTAGCATACTGTCCTCCAATATAATACATCTCATTATGGAACTCATATTTCAAGCTGACCACATAAAAATGCCTAAAGAGGCCCTTTAAGGTTATTCTGTAATACTTACAAATTCTCCCTATTATATTATCAATTCAATTTCTCATAGCCATTATAATATGGTCGGCTGAAATAAAAGCAGTTAGCTATTTCTGTATTGGGCTATAAAATATAATTTAAGACTTATCTCAAATTGTCAAACCACTTGTTTTCTCTGTAAAAAGTAGGCACTTTGACAGATAGGATAATTCATCTTCAGAATCTGGAGCCTAGAAAAGACTACATTAGCATATTAATAAAAGCACAAAGTCTTACAGGCTTTTCACAGCCTGACAATATGGCGTTTATTTTTAATAAAATTTTATAGCATACACAATTTCAATTAGTGGACTTTCGTACAGAATCATAAAACAGAGGATTAATACAAGACTGGACGCTGTAGAGACCCTCTACTTTGCAAGGGAGTGCTCCCACATGGGGCACCTTTGCCAGAAGACATCACAGTTATGAGCTCACTATTTGCGCAGGGCACCAAGAAGTTGACAAGTCACTTTCTCGGTTCATTCTAAAGATGTCATTTCATTATACAAACTGGGGCAAGTTATTGAACTCTGCTCATGCTCTTCAAATGTAAATCAGGAATCATATTCACTGGGTTACTATGGGGATGAAAAGAACGCCAATCCATCTAGGCCACTTGGGAGAGTCCTCGCACCACTCAGATGAGCCTGATCAAGAGACCAACAAGGTTGGGTCAATCCTTCCACAAGGTTCCAAGAACTCAATAACGATTGCTTGAATTGAACTGACTGTTGCCAAGTCAGTATCATTCTGGACCATTTGCTATTCCATGGTATAATATGTCCTCCATTATAAAATGCTTGGGCAGCATGAGTAGATGAGGCGACTGGCCTTCAGTCCTAAATTGGCCATCTGAGGGCCAATCTCTTCCTATGGCTTCTGCTACAGATGGATCTCAGTATGGTCTCTCTCTCTCTCTCTGTCTCTGTCTCTGTCTCTGTCTCTCTCTCTCTCTCTCTCTCTCTCTCTCTCTGTCTCTCTCTCTCTGCCTCTCTCTCTCTTCTCTCTCTCTCTCTCCCCACACATACCTAATATTACTTCACACAGTTTCTACAGGACAAGGATCCAGCACTACCTAACTAGGTCTCTGTGAGGCTGCAATTCAGTTGTCACTGAAGCTTTTGATGAGGCTAGAGGGGCCACTTTTAAGATGTTTCAATCACATAGCTGTGAGCAGGAGTGTTAGGGTCAGAAATGTACAGCCACAACTACAACCACACTTAGGTCATTTTTGACAACCCAAATTAAAACAATTTATCTACCATTGGTCATTTCCTAGCCCCTACTCTCTAAATCTAGGTAATCCACTGAACTACTGTTGATCTTCATAGACTTTTCCAGCAGAGAGGACTACTCAGAGTTCTAATTCCTGAGTTCAAACACATTCTTCTTTCACTTTCTTCAAAAACCTCAATTTGATAGACTATTTTAAACACCTCCATCTATTATCATATTTAATGATGAGAAACTGGATGCTTTTCCACTAAGATCAGTATATGTCAAGGATATTACCATTAACCACTTCTATTCAGTATTGCATTGGGAGTTCTATTTCTGGCAATAAGGAAATTAAAATTATACAAACTGGGATAAAAGAAAGAAAATTCTTGGCAGACAACATGATTGTCACAATCACCCCAAAACTGTCAATAGCAACAATGAAAACTCCTCAAAGTAATCATCAATTACATAAAAATTACAGAATGCCAAGTTAATATACTAAATTTGACTGCCCTTATATATCAACAATAAACAAAAGATATTTTAAAACAATATTGCTTCTATGAGCACCAATAATCTAATTATGTATAAATATTTAGATAATAAAAACTTAAATACTAAGTATAGATCTAACAAATATGGACAAGATTTACATTAGGAAAATACAGAACTTTGTATATTCTATGTATATGTGATGGCAGATACCAAGGAAGATCTAAATAAATGGGAAGATAGTCCATATTCATGGATAGGAATAGTCAATATTGTCAAGATGACAGTTCTTTTGAACTTAGTATACAGTTTAAAAGTAATCTCAAACCAAACCCCAGAAAATTATTTTGTAAACTTTAACAAAATAATTGTAGACTTTATATGGAGAAGTGAAGAGTCCAAAATAGGCAATACAATAATAAAGAAAGACAAAACTGGAGGTTTGCTTGATCTAACCTCAAAAAACATTTTTTATGAAGCAAATTTATAAAGCTCTGTAATCACGGAAATGTGTGATTGGGAAAGGAATGAACAAATAGATCAATAAAAAAAGACAGGGTTCAGAAAGAGATTCACACAAATTTAGTCAAATGATCTCTGACAAAGGCACAAATGTAATTCAGTGAAAAGGGGATAGGCTTTTCAAAAACTGGACATTTCCTTGACCAAACAAAAAACCTGATTCGCTCCTAGTGGACAACTTCATCCTTGACCATTGTGGAACACACAAAATCTAGTATAAAAGCTTCCATCTAATTAGTAGC